ATACATATCATTTGGCCATTTGGCCATAACCTCAGATTCTTACGATTACTTCCCTATTTCCCACAATTAACCCAAATCCCGAAACCTTAGGGAAACCTTAGAGCATTGTACTAATAACGATATAACACATTCATTTCTACATATTTACCCAAATCCCTAAACCTTACATCACCACAACATACCGAAAGGTATACATAAAAAACTATGAAAAGCAATACTCCCCATACAATAATCATTCAAGAACAGCAACAATTTTATGGAATTTATCATGCTACGAAAATTAGATCAAGAATCCTCAAGAACACATAATTCCTATGAGAGAAAGGACCTCTCACTACCCTCTCATGTTAACTCACCCATATTGAAATCCATTCTCCCCCCTTACCTCGATTAATTGCTCAATAGTTGAAGAATCTTGAAGGATTGACAGCCCTAACCTCCTTCTCTTCCTCCTTGTTCTAATTCTCTTCCCCAAAAAACTTCTCTATTTCCTTTAATCCCTTATTTCTTATTTTATTATTTAAATCCTATAATAATAATAATAATAATAATAATAATAATAATAATAATAATAATAATAATAATAATAATAATAATAATAATAATAATATTCTCCCACTAATAATAATATTCATACTAATAGTAATAATATGAATAATAATAATAATAATATTCCACCAAATAATATTAATAATAATAATAATAATAATAATAATAATAATAATAATAATAATAATAATAATAATAATAATAATAATAATGATAATCTCATTAACATTATTATTAATAATAGTTGAAATAATATTAATCACTATAATACTCTCTATATCATAATTAACTTATTTCTTTATCTAGGTCCACCGTACTCCAACTAAGGTCACCTCTCTCCCTTACTCCTAACCTCATACCCTTAATTAAGGACACCACACAACTACACATCACAGAAAATACCAAATCGACTGAATAATTTAAATGGGGTGTTACAGTAGCCACCCCAGTTTTACGAAAAAAAATGGTTCAATGATGCATATGCAAAACTTTATGGAGTGTATTCGGTGACGCATCTCTAAAAATATCATCGGGTGCATTTTAAGTTATTTAAACAACATTTTAAATTAACAGTGCCATGGCTGTTTTAAACATTAATAAAAACGAACACCATGGAACAATGTAATGCATTAATTAAAAAAAGCATTTCATAATATTACAAACATTGTTCTCAAAGTATGAAAAATAAAACTAAAACACCCCAAAATAAAAAAAAATGCATAACGTACTGCTTATGTATAATCCTAACTCTCTGTCTCCTCCTTTGTCGTTGGTAACCCAAGGAATTTCGTTACTCAGTAAGAATAACATGTGTAAGGGAAACCATATCATCACGACCTCTCTCAAAGATCCTAGACTATATGCCCTCATACATAATCCACATGATATTTTGATAATCGACAACACATCAATGACATGGTCATCTCTAACATGCTCATTCTCAAGAATCTCCTTATGAACAGACTTAAGGGACGTTCATGAGCGTCTTGTGTTATAACAGAGTATGACACACTATATAACCAAGTCATGTAACCGTCCACATAAGACCACTGAATTGTGGCTGACATACTCTGATATTTCTCTAGTACCAGATGACTCTCGTATGTCATCAAGATGTTTGCAGATGATGATGTTAGGAGCATACTCGAAGGGGGTCTCAGAATGATCTACACATATCCAAACTGACGCATACATCGCTCCGGCAGATACCTACACATCATATTCCTCCCACACAACAGTCATCCGGAGTAAAATCAAATAGAGTCGAAGGCAATAGTATTCCAATGAGTGGTATATGGTGTCTAGTCAATGTCATTATATTGAGTCTGGTCAATATACACACGGAATGGTCATACAACATTGTTCCTTCAGCGCAGACAATATATGCAAGCACGTAGCCAATCTTCAATATAGTCTATCACACGATCAAACATGTGTATACGATGAAAGTGGGATAGGATTCATCCCTGAAAATGAATAAGAAAAAAATATTAGTAATAAGTGTAAAACACATTCGGAGATACATATCCGAATTAAAATTTGAAAATAAGGGTTAAATTCGAAAACATATCTATGTAAAAACTCTAAAACACATTCAAAGATGCATCTCTGAATTAAAATTTGACAAAATGTGTGGCGCTCACTCTTTTACACTTATTTTGTAGAAATAACAGTGCGTCTAAGGATATATTTTCAAAAATATGAAATATTTTTTTCTTTTCGTCCAGAGTTTAGGAGAACTTTTTTAAGTTCTAAAAGAAATTCCATTTTTTTTTTTTTTGTTTATATATGCTTCTTCTTTTTTTTTGGTTATATATGGATGTATGATCTCCTTGGAACTTTTTCATTTCACCAATAACAATCATAAGTTGGCCGGCGGCCCATGGAATGTTTTCTGATCAACTGATCAATTAACATCTATAGTATTAAAAGCGAAAAATTTGAACTAAACTCCGCACATAAAAGGATCAATTTATAACAACAATTTGCCGGCCAAGGATTTGGAACACTGCTTTTCTTCCTCTTGACACAATATCTAACATTATGCGACGCATTATTATTTTTCTATATTTTCCCTATTGCTGCAAACACAACTTTCATTATTGTAAATGTAAGTACACAAAAGTTAAAAGCTAAATTATCAAGATGAAATTTCTAATGTTACATGCATTTTTTAAGGATGTATTATTTGATATATTTTGGTAAATCAGAGTATCCGTAAAAAAAAAAAGATGTCGGTTAAATTCTTGACTTACTCATAAGAGTAAAAATCGACATTTAAGTGAGCAGATGTTCTGATGTACGATTGAGTAGGAAAAAATATACATTTGTGAACTTAATTGAGATTTTTCCACATATGAAACCGAAGACCAGAAGTTTTGATGTGAAAGAAACAGATTTCAAAACTACTTCAAATAAAATAAATGGTCAAACATGAAAAATAGTGTTTTGAAAGTTAACATACTTTTTATATTATTTGTCTTTTAATATTTTTGTATAAACTTATTATATTTATTATCCAATAACCAAATGAAACTGACAAAAAAAATTTCGCTATACTACAACAGACCCTGCTTTCTGCATATAAGTATACAAAGCTTGAACTATACTTTCAGCTTCAGTTTGGCATTGAAGCTATAACATGGCTGATTCACTCTCAGTTAATGTTGGTTCATTACATAACCTTGAAATAGCTGCTAAACAAGCAAAAACTACCACCTATGAGGCTAAACACTCTGCATCTAGCATCCAAAAGGTAACAATATTAATCTACTAATGAAGATAATCACGATGTACCACATATATAATGTGTCTATTTGACTGATGTGAATTTACTAACTTCAACTTTTCAAGTGTAGGCTATTGCTGAATTTGTGGGTACATATATTCTTATATTTGTTGGTTGTGGGGCTGCTCTTGTCAATGAGAGGTTACCAATCACAGTTGTTGGCATAGCAATTGTTTCCGGCTTAGCTTTAACCGTTGCTATATATTCGGTTGGTCATGTCTCTGGTGGTCATTTCAATCCTGCCGTCACAATTGCGTTGGCCGCTGTCCAAAAAATTCAATTCAAACTTGTAAGTAATCCGCATCCTGTATTGTGTAGCCGTTGCAGAGAATCTATCACAATTTGTTTGATTTAGATCATCTGCAACTGCTGTATGGTGCAATACACTGCAGAGTTAACAAACTCTGCATTATATTGTACCATACATGTTACTGCAATAGATCCATACACAATTTGTTACTAAAAAATCGTCGTAAAATAATATTATGACTTAATCGCATGGATTATGATTAATTAGGGTTTTTTTTCTCTTTGTTGTTTCCTTTCTTAGGTGCCTGTTTATGTGGTGTGTCAGATAATGGGTGGCACACTGGCCACTCTCACTCTGAAAGTGTTGTATCATAACAAGGTGGATATTGGTGTATCACTGACTCAATATTCTAATTCAACTTCTGATCTTGAAGCATTGTTGTGGGAATCCATAATTACTTTTATATTGATGCTTACTATTTGTGGTGTTGCCACAGATCACAGAGGAGTATGTACCACAAATTCATACTCTTTATGTACCTTACATGCTATGCAAACATTTTGATGAACTAATTTGGCGTTTTATTGAACCAGAGCAAAGAACTTGCTGGAGTTGCCATAGGCATTTCAGTTCTGATTAATATCATCATTGCTGGGTAAAGACTTTTACATCGATCATTATTTTAACTGATGTAAAAATGTTGTTTTTCGCATCTGTTGACAAACCGATGTGAATTGTTCCGATGTTCTAAAACGATAGCTTCTACGCCTGTGAAATAAACCTGACGACGGATTGTTTTTATGCAGGCCTATCACAGGAGCTTCGATGAATCCTGCGAGAAGTTTAGGCCCTGCCATAGTATCAGGCAATTACAAAAACATTTGGGTTTATATCATAGGTCCAACTATTGGAGCAGTCTTTGCAAGTGTACTTTACACTTTCCTGAGAGTATCAAAACCAACTCAACCAGAACTACCATATATCACATATGAAATACCATAAGCATTTAACTTTTTGATCCATAAATTTCTATGAGGTTGATCAAGCTTTTTGAGGATCTGTAATCTGTAGCAACAAAAATATATCTGTTTTAATCATAAGAACAAACCCGAGTTTAAGAGTGAAGCAAAGATTCAAAAGTTGGTGTTTTTTTCTGGTCACTACACAACATATATACTTTACAATAGGACTGCTACACATTTTTGTACAAGAAGCAAAAAGGAATGCAGATATGAAACTGCCCCGAATGAACTGAAATTTCCAAAAACATTGAACATCAGCAGTTAATAATTTGTCAATACTTTCCCAAAATGCGCTTTTTCGTGTAACCTCCAATTCCATGTTCTCCATCCCACTTGGTGAGATAGCATTTTCCACATCCCATGCTTCAAGTCTGTTGTATATAATGTGAGTTTATCTGCGGCGAAAGAAAAATAATGGAAGTAAGTTAATAATAACAACTTATGACATGTGTATAAGCTATTTTTAGCTTATTTCAATAAGCTCTCTAGAATAACTTATAAAAACAGCTTATAGCTTTAGACCCATTTGGATTAGCTTGTTTAAGTTTGCCTACTGGCATGTAAAAATTTGTGAGACTATTTGCAGGAGCTTATGAAAACAATTTTAATTATGTCCATAAGTTGTTTTCAGCTTCTTTCCATAAACTCTTCGAGTGAGTTTATGAAAACAACTTATAATTTACATGCAAATAGTTTGACTTTATTTTATCTATGGTTAGAAATAACTTATACGTAAACACTTAAATGATAAGTTTATGCTATAAATGCTTAATTAAGTTGTTCCCGATGATTTTGTCCCGTTAAGGTAACTCAATTGATAGCTGTGTAGGGATATCAGACTAAAGGGACGCAGGTTTGAACCTGTGACATCCCATTATTTTATTTTTAAAGAGTGAAATTTCATCCTCTAGACTACTTGACAAAAAAAAAAGTTATTTCCGGTGATTTTGAGAAATCTCACCCAGTTTGAGGTAGGCGTGTCCAACTCATCATTTGGTGAGACTGTGGATGCCTCTGCAAGTAAGGTGAAGTGGCTCCTATACCATTTTCATCATCTACAAATTGATCTGAGAAGTTAGAAGCCTGTGGCGACCACTCCGGAACTACACCTCCGTCTCTTTCTCTCCTCGTACTACTCGAAGATTCTGCTGTTGAATCTTCCGCTGTATTTCTCAGCCAAAACGTAGTTGTAGTTGTAGTGTTATTTCGCCGTTGTCTAGTGTTTCTATTTACATTCTGCAACATTCCTTGGTCCATTGGTTCCCGTCCATTTTGCTGTGCATTTGCATTAGTTGGCACTTCAGCTCTGCTGTCGCCTGCCGAGTTTCGAACCGAAGAAGTTTCTTCGTCTTCCACTCTCACTCTAGAATAAGTCATACTTGGTACCATTTGATCTTGGTAGCGCCTGGTACCGTGAGGCAGATTGTTCCTAACAGGTTCATGTCTTTCCTCCATTTGTATGTCTTGAGGAAAAGCAATAGGGGCGGATTCTGTCGAATCTCCGAGACCTTCTTCGGTTCCGTTTTCGGCTGCAGTTCTTGAAGCTGCTTCTAGTTGCCACATTTGAATAAGTGCTTCTTCCAGTCTCACTGTTGCTGCATCTATTTCCACAATCGGAAGAGGGTAGTTTGAGCCAAGTTCAATACCTGCAGCTTGGAGAACTGATTCTGGTGCATTCCAAGGATGATGTATCCATTCAGTCGGTAGTCTTGCAAGTTCCGGTAGCCAGCGTCGCACATATTCTCCGTTCGGATCACATTTGTATCCCTCAAACTGAAAATCCAATAACCAAAATGAGTGTATCTATCACTAGAAATATAAAATAAGAAAAGATTATATCCCTCATAAGCATATAAAATACCCGACAATATAAGAAAAGAGGATTGAACCTAGAAACACTTGGGCCGGTTTGGATTGAATTATTTGAACTTATCTACTGAAAAAACATTTGTGATAATGTGAGATTTTATGAAAATATCTTATGACATGTTCATGGCTGTTTGTAACTTATTTCCATACAATCTTCAGGATAGTTTATGAAAACGGTTGAAAACTTGACAATTTGTTTTTATGTTATCTTTTGTAACATAAATAACTACGCACTTAGAGCGTTAAGTTGTTTATCCAAACATGACCACTCAAACCAATGAAGTGTTTATAACCTCTGTAGCACCGACACCTCTGAAAAAAAGTGTTTGTGTTTGTGTCGGACACCACACCACACCGACACTTGTGATTATGTCTAATTTATTCATCTTCAAAGTATTACCGGTGTCTCTGTGGCAGTGACGGTGTCGTGTTCAGGATGTTTGTGCTTCATAATTTATAAAAAAAAAAACAGGATAATGCAACTCATAATGTGGTTTTGTTTTGCCTAATAAGGAAATAAAAATAGTCAAACAGATTAGATACAGAAGCAATTGCACCTGTGGATTATCAATTCTGTCGAACTCACGACCGTCGGGTAAAGTACCAGATATATACTGCCAACCAAGAGCATCACTTTCAAGATCAGCATCCAAAAGGGTATCCCAAAAATATTTCATCCCCCATCTCCAAGGAAGCTGCAAAACCTTCACAAAGAAACTCGAAACGACAACGCGTATTCGATCATGAAGCCAACCTGTAGCCCACAACTCTCTCATTCCAGCATCCACCAAAGGGTAACCTGTCCTTCCTTGTCTCCAAGCCTTAAAATATCCTTCATCGACCACCCAAGGGAAAAACTTAAGGTGTCCAAGTAGTGGCCTTTCGTGACTATTAGGGTGGTTGAAACTGATGTACCTTGAATACTCTCGAAGACCAATTGACTTGAGAAACAAGTTAACACTTTCTTCGCCGGCTTTGTTTCCTTCGTTCGCCCAAAACACTTGCTTAATTCGGACGAGATGGAAGACTTTCTTGACACTAACTTCTCCAAAATGCAAATGTGGGGAGAGGAATGAGGTTGTGGCGCTGTCTGCTTTCCTGCGATTCACGGAGTACTCGATCAGTGGACCGTTTATAAATGTCGTCAATGCCTTGTTTGCGTTGCTCCACCCTGGTGACCACGCTCGAGCAAGAAGCGCATTGCTTGATTTCTCTAATTCATCTTCAAACACCAATGTATCAGAAGGACATCTTGATACATCACCTGCGGCGTGACGGCATTGTTAACATAATGCAAATCAAAGTTAAAACCAATGGAGTTTCATCAACACAACAATACATCAAAGAGAAAAGGAAATTAACAACTACCAAGTACTTATGCCAATATTTTGGTCCTTGAAACTTTTGTCATCAATTTAGTTTATTAATAATATAAAGTATAACTTTTATCATTGCATTTAAATTTTAAAATCAACCCAATCTTTGTAAATGATATGATTATACAAAGAAAAACGGTGAAACACAGACACCGGAAACACGACACTGACACGTCGACACCCGTAATAATTTGAAAAAATGAATAAATTAAACGCAATCACAAGTCCCGGTGTCGGTTTCGGACACAGACATACACAGACACATTTTTTCAAAAGTGTCCGTACTATATAGCAAACGACGAATGACGTCAATACTTTGAAAGTTGAAGTTCATGATCCTCCACGTCGTCACAACTAAGGACAAATACATGATTGGTGTTGGTTTGACAAAATTAGAAAAAACAAATGAGTTGAGCTTTGAGGCAAGCAGATTCATTTTTCCCTTGTTTTTGTCGAATCGACGCCGATCAAGCCATAGAACCAGACATGACAACATGGAGGACCATCGTCAATCATTGTTAAAGTTTAAAAAGATTTTTAAGAACCAAAGTGGTCCACCGTGGAATTTTCCTTTTATTGAAGTGTTACAAAAAGCATCTTTTAAACCGATGTATTCCTTTCTCAATACTGATAGTTTGTTCATTATTCCAGAATCCAAATTAAGAACCACAAGTGATTATGCAGCTGGCAAAAAAATCAGATAACAACCATTATCAAAAAAGTTGAAATAAAAGTGAGGCTAAAGAAAGAAAGGAACAAAGTAAACCTGGAATAATTCTTTTAGGTGGGAGAAGAGGTGCTTGTGGGTCATAAGGCATGCTAAGGCATCTTTCCCAAAAAGAATCAAAAGTTGTGAATGGTTGGCCATGTTCATCATTCACATCCCATGGTTCATACAACAAATCCGAGTTGTACGATCGTACCGTAATTCCTTGAGCCGTTAGAATTTCCTTCGCTCTATGATCCCTCACGAGTGACAATGGATCTGTAATATTAAAATATACACGTTAACACCGTTTCAAAACCAGAAAAACAAAGTTAAATAAATATCATCACAAATTATAAAAGCAACTTATATGAATGAAATTATCATATACATCAAAAACCGTTGAGAAAATAAAAGAAATTATAAAATTATAATCAAAGAAAGATTATACTCGGCAACTAAAACCTCAAATTGTTGCAAACAAGGATTAATTCTACAGTCTACAATGATGTTGTCTATATTACTAAGCAACAAAATATATCAAAATCGTAGAATTATATTTGAAACATTAAAAGATATATGAATTGTACACCGTAAAACAAGAGTAATCCATCAATATAGTCCCCTACTATCACTCTCTCCTACTTAGTCCCTCGGAACGTGCTATTCACCGTTTTTATGATGAAAAAGAAATTGTGGTTAATTCATATGGCGACCACCGCAATCAGTATATCAACACACCGAAATCGTGAATTTTAAAGTAGTCCTAAAACTATATGAAATCTGTCAAATTAGTCTCTGCTGTTACAGATTCCATATATTTAGGGATTAATTGATGGTTTAGATACAAATCCTAACAAAGCAAGCAAGATAATCATACAAACAAAGTTGAATCAGCAAGATAATCATAGAAACGCAATTGAATCAGCAATCACAGAATCATGCAATAGCAGCATACAAAGCAACACAAATTCATCTAAGATAAGAACGACCAAGCAAAAAACTAACCATATAAATGGTTGAAAAAGATTTGAGTGGCTCCAGTGGACTTAACAACCTCAAGCAAAGAAGAAATACTATCAGTTGATCTTTTGGTAACAAGAGGAGTCCCAAGATTCCTCAAAGATGAATCAAGATGAGACAAACTGTTCTTAAGCCACCATCTTGAAACTCTACCAGGGTAATACTGTCCTTCTTCTTCAGGTGCCCATATGAAAACACCAACCACAGCACCTGCTCTAACACCTGCTGCAAGTGCAGGGTTATCCTCTACCCTCAGATCTCTTCTGAACCAAACTATGCTGCATCCACCACTTGACATCTTCTCCACAGAAGAAGAAAAAAAAGGGGTTTTTTCCTTTTTCCCCTTACCCTTTACTATAGAGAGGTGAATTGAATAAAAATGCAAACTTTAATAAATTATCTTTCTCCAAATATATAGCATTACTTTTGGGCTGGTTCTTTTTCTTCCAAAAAGTTGTAATTTTGGTTTTTTTTTCACTCAAGTTGCAACAACTAAGAAAGGGTCCAAGGAAAGAGAGATAGAAGAAATGAAAGAGGATTGGTTGAGTGGGGGATACAATGAAATTGATAGAGAATTTGCAGCCACTACTTTTTTATGCTGTGTGTAGATTTTTCAATTTTTTGCTATTATCCTATACATGCAAGAAAACAAAACAAATCACATCAAGTCTCAATTTTTTTCAATATAGCAAGTGACACATAATGGAGAATCAGCAAAAGGATGGATAGAGAATATATAAAATTATTAGAAATGATATATTATTTTCTATAGGGTAAAAGATATCCGTCAGTTTAATAAGATGTTCTGAATTTGAACTCATGTCTATTGTAAAAGACATCCGAAATCTAAAAAAAAATATTATTTTCTTTTTTAGGTACATGTTCCAACTCATGCATGTATGCTACATTATTATTGTTACTATCTTCATGATCCAACACAACAGAACACTGAGTGAAACTATGTGTTTGTGCAGTCTTTTAGATGGTTCTCTTTTACTAATAATAGAAGGAAAATCTTTTGTTTATGTTCTTCTTCTTGTGTCTAACCGGAACAAACAATAAACAATTCTTTTTTGAGAAAACAATAAAAAAGAGATCATACATTGTTTATTATTGTTTAATGTCATAACATTTCATTAAACATTGTCATTTATAACATGTTCCCCAACTTTCACTACAATTAAAGGTGGTTACTTTGCTTTTAATGCATTAGTACTTTTATTTTTATTGAAATTACCTTAGTACATCAATGTATTTATATCACCATGCTATAACTTTCTAATGCATTCGTGCTTTTATTTTTATTGAAATTACCTTAGTACTTCAATTTATTTATATCACCATGGTATAACTTTCTTAAGGTCTTAAGGTTTTTTATAAATAAAATGTTTAAATTTTTATATCGAGTTGTTGAAATATAAAGGTGTACATGTAACAATAACAAATACTCAAATAAATCTTAATACTCTAAACCTTTATTGTATTGTTTGACTTTCAATGTAGGTTTTGAACTTTTTATATAGTATAATAATTTTAGACTTTTCTTTTTGAATAATATCTTTAAATTCATCCAAAATTAATGCATAATCTATATGATATTTGATTTGTTCCTTAAATATTTCTATCAAGATATAATTTGTTTTTAATTTAAACTCAAATATTTATTTAAATTCGAATTAACCTTCATCCAACTGGCAAAACAAGTCACCTAATCATATTGTTAAGTCATTTAGCAATAAAAGGAAACTGAATCGTTTTCAAAGATTCATTCAAAATATACCATTCTGGTGCCTGTTGAGCAATGCCAAGGTTTTGTACCAACATGTTGGAGCATCACGCTCAACATGTGTCCTTTTTACAGCTTAATCAAGCTAGATCAGTCTTGAATACTTGAACACTTCTCCATATTGTTGTTTTTCTAAATGTAGTTGTCGTAGTGAGAATTGGATATCAAGCTATTGATTAACTTGAATCTTAATTCATTATTCACCACTGGTCTTTAATTTGTCCAAGAGAAGGGAAAAAGATCGAATTATCCACAAGATGCAATGCAGATGCAAAGTTAGAGAATCTAAGATTCGGGGGTTGGTTAAACTTAGGGAAGGTACTAGCATCCTAAGCATTTGTAGTACTATACAGGATCCTCTTGTTTTAATTGTGTTATTGCTGTTTGCTAAGGGTGAAAAGCCTAGAGGTTTATTTCTAAGTATACTCGCCAAGAAATCGCATCTTGTGCCTACGTATCCTGACGGGAGTGAAATCAGAGTACTCGTAGTTCCTCTAAAAGGGATTGAGGAACCATTAACTGTTGGTCAAAGTTTCAGGGGGGGAAGGGTTTTTGATTGATTCTAGGAGAAAAGACGAGTTGTCATCTTAAGGGAGAACACTCGACTTAACCACCACAACTTGTAGAAGATGGTCTTTGCGTCACATTGAGAGAAGGGCTCAAAACTCGGATTTATCGACGAGTATGTCACATACCTCTCTCAAGCAGAAAAGATTCTACACCTCGCAGTTGTGTTATGGGGCAGGAGAATTATATCTTGAATCTCAAGATGAATCACGTCTAATTCTCTTGTGGGGAGAATAAGATGATTGTATTGTGTTAAGTTGGTTCATTTAAGTTGAAGGATTCAAGACAAACCGATCCTATCTTAAGGTGTAGGGGCTAAAGCCTAAGCTGATCAACTTGAAAACTCAAGGATCAAGCGGGGGAAATATGATGCAAATGAGATGCAATACGCACGATTTATGAAGTCATGCGCAAGTTCTTTCCTTGGACGTGCATACAAAAAAAAATAACAAAGCACGTGACAAAAATAAGATTGATAACAAAAATAACCTCAAGAAGATCAGATCACGAATCGAACAAGTTGAAGTTAAATCCTGCAATTCCACAAATGACCAAGTTAAGACATAGACATCAAATTCTAAGGCAAACGCGAACAATCGGATCCTTGCAACCGAGGTTGTTAACACTTCAAAATAGATTGGAGTAAAAAGGATTTAAAAATAGAAAACGTTAAATGCAACGAAAAAGAGGGAAATGTTGCGCTTAAATAAATTTCTCATGCAATTAATGAAGGGTCGTAGAAACAAAATCGAAATGAGACGTCATTTAGTTTTTAGCGAATGTTTTATCGAAGTTATAAATTATAATTAAATTTTGCTAGGTAAATAAGTAGAATTGAGTTTTAAATAAGTAATTGATTTATTAGATAAATAAATAAGTTTACATTAAGTATGTAAATAGTTTTTTTATAATTAATAGGTAGTTTATTAAACAAATAAATAAGTGTTGATTAAATAAATAGTTAATTAGTTAAGTAAATAAAATAAGTTTATTAATTAAATAAATAGGTGATTAGTTAAATAAATAAAGTAGGTTAATTAATTAAATGAATGATTAATTAGATAAATCGGTTGATTATTAAGTTAAATTAATAGATTTATTAAATGACTAGATTGTGATCTGGTGCAACATGCCATGAGGGCCTACCGTGGGGAGTGACTGTGCACCGCATATCATTAATCAAGCAAGGAACGGGTGGTCACGGGGCAAGGGTTCACCATAACGCACAAGGCGCGCATACACACGATACAAGATATAAATTAAACAACCCACACAAAAGAAACCCTAAACCAACCTTCTTCTTCTCCGTCGTCTCCCTCTTTTGTTCGTCTCCAACATCTATTCTTCTTCTTCCCGAAACAATTTTCTACCCAAAATCTGCATCTTCCTGCAGAAATGCAAACACAGACAAAGCAACAAAAGCAAAACAAATAGAAAACCCTAAGCCCCAAATAGCAAACCCTAACCCCCAAACATGAAATCGGAAGAAAAAAGGTGACAACCGTGGTGATTCAAAGAAACAGCCACTAGAAAAAAAAAAGCGTACTGAGTAAGGAAACACGAACCCATGATGGATATTTGACGGAAGGCGGAGATCTGGCTGCGTTGCTTGGACGAAAGTGGAACGGAGCTTAGGGTGCGACGAAGAGCGAGCGAAGGCCTTGGATTCTGCCTTCGTCAGATAAGTGTTCTTGATCCCTTCGCATTTTTTTTGATGATCCTTAAATGACGTTATGCCTCTCTTTTATAGACGTACGAGCAATTATTTCTTGATTATGGGTGTTGAATGCGATGGATTTCTTGTTGTCTTGAAAAAATGACATATTGGGATTGCAGTGATTGTCGTTGATCCAGAAAAATGATAAATTTCCTTTTTCGTATGATTGTGTTTTAATCGGTTATTTTGGAATGCAAGGTCAAGCGGATATTGTCCCTCCTCGGCTTGATTGCATTGGTGACATGATAAATGTGTTGATATTTGCTTATAAGTGCTTTCCAAGTTTATATCGGAATTGATGATTCGTTATTAAAATTGTAACCTTGCGTTAATTATCGTGGGGAGGGGCTCTGATTTAGTTAATGTCTGTGATATTTCGCATTTATTGGATCCTGTTAACTACCAATTCTGAATGCAATTGCTGAATTTCCTTTTTGAATTGATGTGCTAGGTAGTGTTTTGAAGAGATTCTGGTTCCTTTGACTCAAAGGAGATATGAGTGTAGGGAAAATTTCAATCTTATCGTGAACATATCAGAAGCACTGCTTTGGAAATGTAGGAATGCTCGGTTATCGTAACTACACTCTTCTGACTACCGACCGTATTATGGAGTTCTGCTAGAGGTTAACAAAGTCGTGAGTATCCTCTTTGTATCAATGATGTAATTGTATTCCACTATCCCCTCGATTGGGAACTAATGATCTTAATGGTATGGTTTTCTTTTTATGTAGTTGTAATCGGATGTGAAGAACCTGGTGATTCTCCTTCTGTTGGACGAAGACTGGTGCTGACGGAATAGATACGCACTTTGTCAAGTTCCTTATGGTGCACCAGATGATCCGACCCTTACCTAAGGAATGCTATGCTGGAAGCGTCATTCTTCAAATTGGTTTTGATGACTGTCGTACCTAAAAAAAGCACGATCCTTCGCGAATGGTCGTGGAAAACACAGAGTCGCCACCGAACTTTATTTATCCCAATGAGGGAAAGGAAAATATCGATAAAAAATTTAAGGAAAGAACATGGTCATCGCAACCAAGTTCTAGGTTCGGGAGTCGGTTACGCGAGGGGAAGGTATTAGCACCCCTCACGTCCGTTGTACTCAATGGGAACCTCTTGATTCGATTCGTAAGAAATGTTATTCTAGTTTGTTTGTGTTCTTCCAAAATAAAAGGTGTAAAGGTAATGAAAAAGAGTTTAGATTGCTGAGGAGAAATGGGTGGTTTAA